ACGCCGTCTGCACCATCACCCTCGACGACGCGGCTCGCCATGCCCCACGCGACGGCATCCTGCGCGCTCCACATGCGGCCCGTGAGCGTGAGCTCCATCGCGCGGGACTTGCCCACGGCGCGCGCGAGCCGCTGCGAGCCGCCGCCGCCGGTGATGGTGCCGATGTTCACCTCTGGCTGGCCGAACTGCGCGTTGGGCGCCGCGAGGAGGATGTCGGCCATCAGCGCGAGCTCGCACCCGCCTCCGAGCTGTTACTGGGGATTGGTGGAATGGCGACGTGGAGAGATAGGGAGGGACCTTACGGCGTAGCCGCTGACGGCAGCGATGATGGGCTTGCGGATGCTGGTGATATCCTGCCAGTCCGCGAGGAACTGGTCGGTATACACTTCGGCGACTATGGAACCATCGACACGGTTGCCCTTCCAGATACTGGAAAAATTTACGCACAGGACTTGTCCTTCATCTCCTTAATGTCGGCCCCGGCTGTTTACTTTGTCGGCATTCCAAGACTACCCCAACGCCGTGCGTGCACGCACCAGCAAAGGCCCTCTCGGAGCCAGTGATGACGATGGCGCCGATCTCATTTTCGGCGTCGATGAGGCGGAGGGCCTCGTTGAGCTCAGCGAACAGCGCCTTGTTGAGTGCGTTGAGCGCCTTGGGGCGGTTGAGTGTCACGAGCGCGACGCCCGGTTCGGGGCGGGCCGTGAGGATATTCTCATATGGCTTGTTGAAGACGGACATCAAGCGACGGGAGTACGTTAAGCGTGATGTACCAACGGCGGCGGTACGGGCAGCGAGTTGACGAAAAGCGGAGAAGGACATTAGGGAGTTCCGACTCGGAGTGGGGCAGACGGATAACCACAAGGGGCGTCATTGCGTAATCGCGGACCAATATAAAGCCGGTAAGCGTCCAATGTAAGACACGTTATACTATCCAGTAGCACGACGAATGTAAAATAACTACTGTTCTGTTCTGTTCGAGTTCAACAAACTGCATAGTAGTCCACAGTGAATCGAAAACAAAACCAAAACCAAAACACCCGAGATAGATTTGCGTTGGTATTATTGAGGGGAAAAAAAAAAGAAAAAAGCGAGGCAGCTATAGCAACCGGCGCCAACCGGCGTCCTTGGCTTTTTTGACGAGCCTCTTCACCTCCTGCGAACGAGCACGGGTCGTGACCAAGAGCGTATCGGGCATATCCACGATCACCAGATCGTCCACGCCTAGGCACGCGACGAGGCGACCTGATCCAGGCACAACAATACCTCCCGCGACCTGCTCTGTAAGAACTGTAATTGCAAGTGGGTGAGTGTCATATGGTCGGGGCAAAATGGTTGCACGCACCGAGCCCACTGTCACCAAGGATGCGAGGTTGGTTTGCTTCTGCAGGCAGAAGTTCCGCGAGCGACGAGAAGTCTCCGACGTCGTCCCAACCTGCGAAGTAGTTTAGTTCGATGCAGCTCTGTTGGAGATATGTACATACCGAACGTCGCTGGCACGACAGCGACACGCCCTTCCAATGCTGCTGGCTCCGCGACAGCGTGGTCGATGGCTATTTTTTCAAGGCCGGGCCAAACCTCCTCGAGCACCTTGTTGCGCTGGGCCTCGTCGACATCCCAGACCGCGGCAATCTTCATCAGGCCTTCCGCAAGTTCGGGTTTGTACTCCCGGAGCAAGTCCAGCAGGAACGTAACCTTGGTGACGAACATGCCCGCGTTCCAGCGGTAGGATCCGGTTGCGATGTACGCGGCGGCCGTACGCGCGTCGGGCTTCTCCTTGAAACTCGAAACGAGGCGTGCGTTGGGCGCCTCTGGCATGCCAAGTTTGTCGCCCAGCCGGACGTAACCGAACCCCGTGGACGGGTGAGAGGGGGCGATGCCGATCGTGACGAGGTAGCCCTTTTGGGCGACTAGGACGGCCTCAGAGACGGCGCTGAGGAACGCATCAGTGCCAGAGATCATGTGGTCGGCCGCGAATGATCCAATGACGGCATCGGGGTCACGCTGTGCGAGGATCGCGGCGGCAAGTCCGATTGCGGCCATTGAGTCTTTGGGACCCGGCTCGCAGAAAAGGTTATGTTGCAATAAATCAGGGAGCTGTTCGCTGATACTCTTGACGTGACTAGGGCCTGCGACAACCGCGAGACGATCTGCGCCGGTGAGAGGCAGCAGTCGATCCCAGGTGGCTTGGATTAGGCTACGCCCCTGGAGGGTGACGTCGAGAAGGAACTTGGGATGGCCCTCTCGTGACAGGGGCCACAGGCGCGTGCCAGCACCTCCGGCAGGTATGACAACATAAAAGCCGGGGATCTCACGATTGGGACCATAAGGGTAGGAAATTACGGTGTTGTCGCCGAGAGGCGATGCTATGTGTACGGAGGGGGGCACAGCAAGCGTGGGGATCGAGCTTGAGTGGAGGAATGGAGACTTTGCGCGAAGTTGCGGAGAGCTCGGTGCTGGGGTATTGAAGCCAGGTGTCCCAAGGTGAGGGCTGCGTATTTGCTAGCAGTAAACCGATTAGCAATTTTTTGTTGGCCACATTACGAGGGAGGCGTACCGACGCGATGCCTTCCCTGACCTGACGTTCGAGGCTGAGATTGGCCTGACGCAGCTCAGTACATTCGTGACGCAACTCGGCAATCTCTGCGCGCTATACAAACAGTCAATGAGACCACGAGCGCGCTCGGCGAGGCGTAGCACTGACGGATTTGAGGACGACGTCCATGATTTGGCTAAACATGGCCTCGACACTGAGAGCATTAGGACCAGACGTAGGCTCGGAAGAGGACTGCGGTACGAAAAGACGAGGGAGAGACATGATGGCTCAGAAAAAAGAGGGACGGGAAGCGCGTAAAAAAAACGGGCGAGGATAGTTATTATAAGTTAGCATGAACGTGTCTTTTCTTTTCTGTTGCACTCGCTTGTGATCCGCACGTGCACACTAGAGCCGTCGCCCTCTTGTCACCCGTTTCTGGCGGCATTTCGGTAACCGCGGTCCACGCCTTGTCTCTAGTTGCGCGCCTACTATGATCTCGGTATGGACGTTTACGAGTATGGTTGAGCTCCGGGCGCGATCTACTTCCAGACAGCACGCCATTTCATTCTTCATTCACCATACCGAGCAAGGCCAATACCGACGATATACCCATGTCATATCCGTGGCCTCTGATGTTCTCAGACTATCACCGCACGATTGATTGTCTCCATTTCCCACACTCTCCCATCAATTCTGTGGCGGGTCCGTTATGCTCCACCTCTGTCGTTGTGGCATACCACTCGTCGTATCTACCTGACGTGACGTGATGTCGAAGCTCCACCTTCGAACGTGGAACAGGGCGTTTAATTTCCCCGAATCCCGGATTTACAGCGGGCGAGTGGTGCGTTCACTGACCCTGTCTTACACGACGCAAAGATCGTGCTCCACTGGGTCGGAAAGGAAGGTGTCATCATTCCTTCAAGGCATGGTCTTACGACACGAGTCCCTTTTTTGAAACACAAGGCAAACCCAGCGGTCCGTTGATCAACAAATTGGTGATGATTGCCCGTTACATCACCGCGGCGCCAAACGCCATACTGTACAGATCAATCGCCACCGAGCGTTCCAATTCTCATCTCAGTGTCACTGGCTGTTCACGACCAGAGAGCGGGGATGGGACCCGCAAACATCAAGGGCGAGAGACCGACGATCAACCCATTTCTGATGTTGTGCCGTGACCAACCTTACCACTGGCCGTTCACTAGACTAGGGGTCGTCGTGGTGGCATATGCGAGGCCTACTCACACCAGGTCCATGTCAGGGCCGCTTCCCGCTGACAGGGTGAAGTGACGATGGTGTGGAACCCTCCCAGATTAGACGAAGTTTATACCCCACCGAACCCTCCTCGATTCCCCTGACACCCTGATCCTACTTTCACGAGTGCCTCTGACCATCAATACCCAGGTCTAACCTTCGCAACCATTCCCCACCCACTTGCCAACGCTCGGTGTTCTCAGGCGCATCCATTCCATAGTCTGTACTGTGAGCATTATATATAGTCCTGAACTTATGGAAGGAGCTGATACTCACCTGTTGGGAATCCAGCTTTGTTGAAATGCGGGCTGATCCCGCTCACAGCGTCTATGGTTACCGCCGCGGCGAACCTTCTCGTCCATCGCTTTCCTACCTCGAGTGCCCTCGCGTCCGTGACTGAGACAAGGGACACGCTTACAAGAGACGTAACAAGGGATCTACTGAATGCAGATATGCTCACGGAAGCTTCAGCTAGAACGCGCAAAGCCAACCGCATCCGACAAGGACAAGAGCTCGTCATAAAATACCCGAACGAGATCCGACCGACAACGCCATTCAATATGCAGCGTCGTCGACGCTGTCATCAGCAATGTTACGAGAAGTAAACATGCATGAGGGGAATCAATAAACCTGCACAACGCCTTGCTTGTTTGGGGATGCCCTCCCTTCTTCCTTTGCATCTCTCTCTCTCCCTTCGTTTGCCCCGAACCCCTTTGTTTGTGCTCACGCCACGGTTGCGCGCTATTACAACCGCATATGCTCATCACGGTAAGGCAAAGAGAGCTTTTTTTGGAACTTTTGATCGACTGATAAATACAATTGGCAGCTTCACTCCGTTTGGTCTGTAACTACACAAGTTATTGCATGTCGCATATACATATCCCCTTGCTATTAGCTTTTCACTTGTCCATTTTCATGGACGACGAAGAGCCAAAGAGTGAACGCTCCTATGGGACAGTAATCACGAATTGGAAACGTTGGTGGGCACAGACATAGCGATACTTGCTGTTTCAAGAGCCTTAGAAGACCCTTGTGGGAGACTAGTGACTCAGTGAGTAAGTACCAAAACCAATGCGGCCATCGTTCACAAAGTCCTTGGACGCTTATCCGATGTCCACTCGGGGAACTCTATCCATGTTATGCATTTACGTAGTGATCGTACTTGCCGTGACAGAACATGTGCACCAGACGTTGCGAGAGGAGAAAAAGAAGGCGCTACCAGGGTTCGAACCTGGGTTAACGGAAGGTTGAGAAAATCAGAATCCGTTGTGATAGCCACTACACTATAGCGCCGATGCCTATTGCATTAATTAAGACGGGGTCAAGTATGAGTGCCTGTGTGCTTTTCTCATGACACAGAATCACCGTGACTTTCGCATTTAGTGAACTGTAAAAGTTGTCTGTATTAAGACGGTGTGCCCGAGAAAAGGCTTACACCCTGATCCCACCCTGACAACGGGCCGCGATGATCCTTGAGGCCGATCTGCACAGCCCGCGGATATCCATCCGCAATAAATGGTTGACGGATACACAGGCCATCTCCTCCAAACCAGCAACGTGTCTGTAGTCTAATGTTGACCAACCCATCCCACATCCTCATCGCGCGCAACTCCCGTGGCCCGTCGAACACCACCGCTGCTCTGAGCTCGCCAACGGAGACACACGCCGCCGCCGCAGGCATATTCCGCTCCTCGGCCGGATCACCACCGTGGCTCCTCGAAGGCGCAGACACGGAAGATGCGATCTCCGAGCTGAGCATCGCCGACCCGCAAGAGCCCATCGACGTCGACGAGGCGTTCACGAAGCACTCCAAGTTCCCGGGGACGGTCAAAATCGTCGTCGAGAGCACGACGTTCTGGTGCGTATAGCCACCGCCCATCCCTTTCAAATCGCTGATGCCGCCGGGGTGTTGCCACTTAGGACGCACAAGGAGATCCTCTGGTTCGCATCGCCGTTCTTCCAAGCCGCGCTCAGCGGGAACTGGGCAGAGACCGGACGTCCCCTCTCCATGTCCTCTGTCATCACCATCTCTCAACCACCGAGCATTCCTGGGGACAAGACACACCCCGATGCGCCGACAGCCATGGCGTTTGCACCCATGGACCTGGATCCGGAAGAGTTGGACATTGACGTTTCAGAGTCGAGCGAACCAGAAGTCATCGAATCGTCTCATTCACCTACGTCTGATGATGCCCATGACACCGAATCGGGTGCACGTTCGGAAGGTGGCAGCTGCACCGCAACCCCAACGAGGAAATCCCATGAGGCCGCACGACAAGCGAGCTTGGAGAAGCTGTTACGGAACTCTACTGCACCCCCAGGAGATGCCCCTAGGAATACAGATAAAGAAACCTGCGATAGGATTGTCAAACTCTCTTGGAAGCGGGCAAATGCACCAGCTAAGCACCACCAAGCGACAAGTAATCCAGATGCTGTTATTGTGCTCAAAGAAGAAAAGGTGCGATTGATCCTCCTTCCTGGGACATGCTCTCATTTGCGCTCAGGCGAGCACCTTTCACGACTTTCTCCGCTTCGTCTATCCCAGGTACGCTACTACTTCCCACACAAATCGGGCCCACGAAGTACACCAGCCTGACCTGCGACGCCCTTAGTATGGAATGCACGATCACGTGGAACAACGTGGAGGGCCTCATGAACATCGGCAACAAGCTCTGCGTGCCCCCATTGCAACGCATCTGCCTCAACTTTCTCCTCACGCATGCCGCCGGCCGCCCAATCAAGGCGATGCGCATCGCAGAGCTCTTCGAGGAGGACGAGCTCTACCGCGAAGCCTCACGCTTCGTGCTCGACAATCCGGGCGGCTGGCCAGAACAAGAGCTCAACACGCTCAGCAGCGACACGCTGCTCAAGCTCGAAAAGCGGTAAGGGCATCTCACGTACGCGAATTGGGCGGGGCTCCTCACACTGCTGGCTCTACCACAGACGGACCTGGTTCCTCGAACGCGTGCTCAAACTCGGCCTCGTGCAGATTGCCAAAGAATACGAATGCGTACGTCCCTCCACGTCAGACAGCAATTTGTCTAACTCAAACGCACCCGCAGTGTCCGTCCTGCCCAGATCCGCAGACCTGCGCGCGGCTCCTGGACGAAAAGTGGCGGCAGGCCTACCAGGCCGTTTTCCGCTTCGGGCCGTGCCAGCCCTCGATGGTCTTCCGATACCTCCGCACGCTCGAGGGCGTCAGCCCCCCGCTCGCGCTCTCCCACCTCGTGTGCCAGACGACCGCCAAGGCATTCGTCGCCACCCGTGCGTAAACCCTCCATCACACCGTTATAACTGATCGATTGATGATATGATGGAAAGTATTCGATCGCATGTTCTCGCTTGGCGTGCGCGGAAGTGGCACAGATACCGCGCCCCTTGGTGCGCGCGTCGCGGCGGTCGCGGGCATGGCTAGTGCGACGCTCCCGCGCCGCCATTTCTTGTACTGCTCGCTGAGGCCGGAGAACCCCGTTCCATCGCGTGGGCAGCGGCATCAATATCGGCATTATCGTGACACGGTGTCGTGATGGGCTCGTTACTAAGCGAGTCTGTTTCGTCGTTTCGCCCGTGAGCTCGCTGACGTCCTTTATGTGTGCGTGATGTCAATTAGGGTATGTATGAGCCATGAGGGCCTCCCATAGCACGGCGTTTTGTGTGTCAGTGGTCAGTTGACTTTGGGCAGAAGCCAAGTCTTCAGGTCGTCTCATCTTGTAGTTGCCATGTTTCTGTTTCTTCTTTTTTTTCACCACAATCAGCATCGCATCCCATATTTCTGCTGGCAGTCGCACTATATATGTATCTGTGTTTCAAGCTCTCGTGGCCAGTAAGAAGGTACGAGGCGTCCGGGTGACGAGGCCATCCATCACATCATGCGCGCAAACCTGAGGGCACGCAAGGGTTCAATACACTCAGCTCGGTGAAAACCCGGTGTCTAGCAACATCCCAGGGTCAACAAAATAAGAGTAAAAACTACTTGCATTGTCCGGGAATCGAACCCGGGGCGGGTCGAATCCGCACAAGAGGTGGCAACGACCCAGGTTACCACTACCCCAACAATGCATTGAACAATATGTGGATAGAGTCCTATCCAACCCTCTTATTCACAGAATTTCCGTAGCCTCAACAGTACGTAGATAGAACAATCCACGTCCAATTTTACAGGGATCTAGAGTTGACTTCCATCGGTAAGAACCGGCAGGCATACGGCGTTGAAGACCACCCTCCAATTTGCGGTTGAGGGGCATCTGACGGAGTGAACCTGAAGCACTTTTATCAAAGTACATTTACCAAGTTGATTGTACGTTTGCATGATTAGTCCAGTAGAGCTCGTGGGTTGATGAAGAACCCCAAGTAGTGGAGGTTCTCTGACGCCTGAACGTTTGATGGACTCAGATTCGGGCCTCACCGTCCAGCAAATGCGGGAACTATACTCTAATGAAGTACTTGTGGTAAACTAGATAGTACCGGATTGTGAGATACATGCATGGGTGGCGAAAACGATGCGAAAGGGATGTCAAGCACGATAAAAGAACATCCTTCACATCAGAAGATAAGTCGGGAAAATAAAGATAGACCAAGGGTATCGCACATTAATCGATCCTCTCACCACTGGGACGTATAAACCCGCAAGCTATTGATTTCCCAATAAGCCTCAGCAAACGCACTTGGATTATTGTTGACAACTGAGGAAAGAGGATCAGCGAACCTGGACATCGGGGTCTCGATAATTAAAATTCTTACAGTCTGGGCAGGTCCCCGTCCCACAGCCGGAAGTAGGCCAAACGCCGTCACTGCCAGCCCAGTCGCCCTTGGTGAAATTAAGCGCGTCAGCCATGGATAGAAACAGAAAATAGGTAGACAGGACACCGACGCAAAAAGTCAGATCAAACACCATTTGGTGTGCGTCAAAGTGTTGATCGTAGTTACAATGGTGGGGGAAGAAGGGAAAGTTCGCGGCCGGTAAGCCCCAAGTGAAATCCGGGCGCACAGGTTGTCCCCGCCCCGCCCCGTCGCGGATCACCTTCGGGACATAACCAACTCGCGGATAGAACCAGACCTTGACGGAGTCGCGCCCTTTATACATGACGAAATACCCGCCACCCGCGCGGTTGAACGGGGCGCCGTAGGACGTGCACGACGGGAGGGGATCGGTGAAAATGACGCCGCAGCCCGCGTTGAAGTTGGCAGCTGTGTCGCAATTGGAGTCCGCAGTCGTTCTACGCCATTTTTATTCAGTCGGAATTCGTGTTCGAGTGCCAGGAGAGTGAGACCCACCCAGTCTGCGGTTCGCGCCACCAATCGGGGGGCATCGTGCAATTTGGGGTAGTGTGCAGGGTTGCTTGGTTATGGGTATTCAGATTGACACCTGAAGTGGAATCGCGCGTTTAGCATCTTGCGTTGGATTTCAGAGTGGGGGGGCATTGCTCTAACCTTCGATGATGTCGATTTCGCCGCCGTTTGGCCACGGACCAGCTTTGCTCAGCGTCCAAAAGGCAGGCCAGGTGCTACAGCCCGCCGGCATGTGCTTGAGATCGAGCACGAATATAGCTTCGTCGTAGGCGTTCTGAGACGAGATGCGGATGCTGTCACGTCCCCGCGCGGTCGGGTCGACGATGGTCCAATCGTCCGCACGCATGACGAACGCCCCGCTGCTGTCCACTGAAAATAACGGATTCAGCGAGAGTCGAATGGCAGAGGGGAATGACCGCACCATATGTCAAGTTTTTGCCCAGAGCCTCAGCTTGGCTGACGTAGTTGACGCGGCCGTGCGTCGGATCGTTCTCGGTCTCCCAGTTCCATCCCTGGTAGAACCCCTCGCCCGACCACTCATCCTGTAGATAAAAGGATGCCCTGGCGCATGGGGTGAGGGACAGAGAAAGAGCGGCGAGGAACACATGGCCAGTACGCATAGTTGAGATAGGAAATCCCGAGTGGTATGAAAGGAATGTGGTTTTTTAGAGAGGCTCGGATGTAAAGGAGAGACAGGAAAAGAGCGAAGGACAGGGTGAAAACCGTATAACGGACTGAGGAGAGGGAAATGGACGGTTGGGCTGGGGGATTGAAGAGTCAGACGGGTGGTCCAGCTGGCAATCATAATAAGACAAATTGGACTAACGCGCACTAGTGCGTATCTTGGCATTCGGCACCATCTTGAATAATTTCCGAGGGTGAAAAGTGTAACTTGGAGGTCCAAAGAGGCATCGACTCGGAATTGAATTACATGGGCGGCGGCGGTAGTACGGCAGTGGTGTGTGTTCTCCTCTTTATGGTAATCGCTTAATTAAGATTTTGTG